CAGCCTGATTGTAGGCGTATGGCTGAAAAATGTACCCGACCTAGTTGGAGGCGTGGGCTATGAAGGGCTCACAAGTGAGGGGGCGTGTTGGAATATCACTTGTGAGTTGTCCCACATTGATTTGATAGGGTAAATGAGTCTAGTTTATAAGTCTAGTGGACTACTCCTCCCATCACCAATTGGTTTTGGAATGGAACCTCACTTGGGCTTCATTTGGGCTAATCCTCTAATGGTGCGCTTCACCTATGTAGGACCGCACTCGTTTTGCCCCCCCATTTGACAGGTTGCAATTCCACCAGTCAGAAAATTAGTGCCCCTAGTTCTTTTCACGGACGGCTCCCCACCGTCTAACTTCACCAATGGGAAGATGAACTACAAGTTACCCGACTCCTTCAGACACCACTCAACACAGCCTTGGTTCATTTCCTACTCCAGGCGTACAGATACTTAATTATGGAGATAGATGAAAATTACGACAACATGTTGTGAAGCAAAAGCCCTTTTATTATTATGAACTTAAAGAGACTTTATTACATAAGTAATCTCCTTTAGAGAGGAGAATGACTTTTAGCCTCTCATAATAGAGGCATAAATACGAACACACATAAAATTCTAGAAAAGAAAATTACAACACTTAACACTTAGCCTACTACAATCTATTACAAAGATTTAATTATATTGAGAAAGCTGAAGAGAATGAACAATATTTTATGTTTCCTCCAAGCATCCTTTTATAGAGGGTTGAGACCCTCTATTATTGCCTCCACCGACGGTAGGTGGACGAACAACTGTATTCACATGGTTTTGGGTCCGGGACTTTGAATTATTCTGCTGCTTCTTTATTAAAGTTGGCCTTTTCCTTCACATGGTGTGGTCCATGTTGTTTCTTTGGTGCCTATCTTTGTGACTCGAAATTTTGTCTATTTCTTCTCAGAAGAGAATATTTCTCTTTTATCTTTCCCTACCACTATCATGGCAATCATCCAATTTCTTTCTTTTCGGGAAAATCATTTTGGAATTCCCTTCTTCTTCTTCGGGTTATCCTTTTGCTCTGGGCGTTCTCTTTTGACCGAAAACAGTTTTTCAAACAATGGGTTTCCTGGCTAGGACAGTGTTTGTTGTAAGTATTTTTACCGGAGTAGAATCGAATGATTCGACACCGGGTCGTATCGCAAGGAAGGTTAGCCGGATTATTGAGCACGTTTACTCAACACAATTAGAAGAAATAAAAGAAATAAAATTCCTAAACATTCTAAATCAAATAATTGGATGGGTTTTTAGTTATCAACTACTGAAAATAATTAAATAAAGCAGAGAAAGTAGTAAGCA